TATCAACAGTCAATAATATCCAGTATTTCTTATATATATATATATATATATATATATATATATATATATATATATATATATATATTATATATATATATATATATATATATGTACCTTTCATATTTTTTTGATGATAATCATTCAATTTTGCATCGAAAAATTCAACCCATCTGTTTAAGATTGGAGTCATATCATTTAAAATATCTCCTTCTACATCCTTATAGTTCTACAAATTTGAACCGTTGAACAATTAGAAAAGGAAATCAGGAGCCGGTCCAGGAAATCAGGTGGACTGGTACCAGAAACCTCGTATTCTATAGTGGTAGCCCTAACAGGTATTGTTATGCGAAATAGTAGTAAATGAAATAACTTGTTACATTGGGTTTAGAGGAAGACTATTCAACATCAACAATCATCGGAGACGGTTAGTTTGGATTCAAAGCCGGTATGTGAACGAGAGAAGCTATGTTCAGTTTACTAGTTCTGGCCCAAAAATGTTACGAAGATATATTTATACGATTCATAGACTTAGAAAAAGCATTTAATTAGAACGTTTGCAATAAGTCGGTTTAGATGGACAGGACATCAAACTACTAAAAAACTTGTACTGGAACCAAAATGCCAGAGTTAGGATCGAAGTTTCCCCGTCCGCAGAAGTAGAAATTAGAAGATGAATTAGACAAGGATGTGTTTTGTCGCCCCTGCTATTTAATCTTTTTTCCGAGTTTTTATTTAAAGAGGCACTGGAGGATTTCAAGGATGGAGTCAAGGTAAAATGCGTAAATATTAAGAAAACTAAAGTGATGTCAAACCGAAAAAACCAAAATGTACTTCAACAATTTCAAGTACCTAGGATGTTGGAATCCAGAATAGAACAGGCCAGATAATCTTTCGAAAAAATCAAAAACTGCTACGTGATTCTCGATTCTCAAAATGCTACGTCTTGCCGACCCTTCTCTAAGCAGTTGTAACGTTGACCCTTAAAATATCAACCGTAAATAAAGTAGATGCCTCTGAAATGTGGATCTACCAGAGAATCCTTAAGATTTTATGGACATCGCATACCTCAAACGAAGAAAAGGATAACCATCCGACAATGGACAGGGCTAAATTTTGAACAGCTGAAGATAGAGAAGAGTTTGCAATTGTAGTAGCCAACCTCCAATGAGGAGAGGGCACTTTAAGAAGAAGAATGCAACATCTCAGTCAGTTCTTGCACCAACCGAAGACAAGGATGAGTCAACTAAAGATGCCCTTTATGATCAATTTGAAATGTTTCTTATAGCTTTATCTAAACAAAGTGTCACTGCAATGATAATATAATCGGACTAGTGGACGTTGCAACATCAAATAATCTTCCTATTAAATCAACGATGCTTGATCATAAAAATATTTATACAGATGATGACTTGGTACTCTTGACCATTTGAATATGTTGCCCTTCTTCAGCTACAGTTAATCTGTTGGATAAAGCATTCACTTGGTCACTCAATGCATCCACTGTTTACCTGAGCACCTGTTACACTGAACACCTGAATTACGTATCGGCTTTCTTAGGAAGTTCTTCTAGGTCTCCATCAAGAATAGATATAACGCTTCGAACTGAAGGTGGTAGGCGGTCCAACCAACAATTTTTGAGAACTTGCGTACTAATGATATCCACAGTCAAAACTTGCATTCGATGTTGATTTATCGTTGACTGAATTACATTAATATTTGGAAAGCTAACATGTGAAGTTAAAGGGATCAGCGCGTGTATCTGTAATTTTTTGACAGGTTTCATATGTATATCTGGTATGGTGGTCATGTCATATATTTCATCTGCAGAATTGTTGGGGATTTCTACTAGCTGTTTTTTCTGTTTATTATTTTCTTTACTTTTACAGTTATTATATTGTTCAGTTTCTTCTCTCTCCTCTTCCATTTTCCTCAATAATCATGGGCAATTGTTTTATAAAAATAAAAAAGTGACACATCTTTTTTATCTCTATTCTTCTTCAATCTTTCTAAAATGTAAATTTTTTTCAGGTTTAAAATATTTTTCCAAACATTTTAATCCCAGTGCTTACTCTTCAATATTTTTTGAAGCTCTTTGCTTTCGGGTTTAAGCAAAATGCAGATTCATTATTATTAAAAATTCTGGAAGGATCCTCTATTAATTTTTATCCAAGTATTTGCGTACTTCCTTAAATCATGTTACTCTATTTTCTCTTGTTACTGAAGATCTGCCTACAGTAAGATTTTGAGCTGTTCGCTTCGGTACTTGTTTATGTCGTTTTAGAAAGCTTTCATACCATCTCCTTCCGGGACTATTGTTATTGAATGAATTTTTACGTTTTAACTGTATGAATAGATGTTGAACACTGTCCAGTAAAGTATCTTTTCCAACAGGAAATCCATTGTCCAATTCTTCGACATCGTGGCTTAATTACTTTAACCTTCTGTCAGAGTGGCACGAGGAACTTTAAACTTTGCTGCCCTTGCAACGACCTCGCTGGCCAATACAGTTGCTATAGAGGCCTTCATTTGTTCTTCAGAGTAAGACAACATCTGACCCTTGATTGGTGACATGATAAAACCTAGGAAGGAACCAATAATTGACACTCATTTGATGCAGTAGTTGACATGTGTCAACTACTAGTGGGAGTCATTTTAAAGATTTCAAAAGTATTTTTCCATAAACAGAATTATGTATTGAATATAAGTAATACAAAATATGCATGATACGAAGTAAACCAACCTTGTCCCAGTAGTTGATAAAAATGTCAACTACTGGTACATTTTCAAAATAACTGTACCAGTAATTAACACTAAAAAATAAAGTTGTTTATACACCAGTAATTAAGCTACAGTATTAAATGCGCTATGATTTAGATATTTTTAGGACACATCTATTAGTTCAGTAAAAAGTACTACGTAAAAAAAGAAAAAAGCGGTAGACACCACTAATCTCATATTTATCGACAACACTGTATGATCCTCACTTGATGAGCTGTAAGGAAATATACGCGTAAAGTTGTCCTAAACTAACTAAAAAATATATACAGTCCCACTTTAACAGCTGCGTATAATGGCCTCACTTGGGTGGCAATATACTTGAACAATATGGGACATATATTCATATTTTTTTGTGTATACTGGTCATTTTTTAATTGCTATTTACTTGTCAAGGTCACTATGAAGAGTTGAAATGATTATGTCTATGTTTTCTACCAGTCCTCAGTAAGTGCGCGGATTGTCAGGACCTCACTTTGATATCTGTGCATATTTATATATATATATATATAATATATATATATATATATATATATATATATATATATATATATATATATATATATATATATATATATATCAGAAAAGGAGTACGACTGTCAATCCAATATATTATAAGGATCACTTAGACGAGTGGTGGGTTCTTATATAGGTCTCAAGGTGGAGAAATAAGGAGAAATAAAAGACAAAGTTGATAGGCTACTTTATCTATTTTGAAGACGTTTCGCTTTTGTATTCTGAATGCATCATCAGTTCATCTAAAAAGTACAATATCAGAACCACACAATCATGGAGAAGATGTTATAAGTGTTACCTTAAAAAGAAATGTAGCAGTCAATGATATTAACAGATTTGTGAGTAAAACTCAAGTAAATGGACATTATACGGTAATATTGTATAAACAATCAATTAACTAACAACATTTAGCAACTTATTAAAAAATTAGCACAGCAACAGAACATACTATCTTTGTCTTATACTATAATTTTTGTCTCCTTCTGAATTATCTTATTTGGAATAACTATCAGATTCTGAAAAGGAAAACAATACTTACCTTAATCTATAAAACACATTAAAAATCAACCTTGCATTATTTTAAGGCTATTTTATAAATTGTATTAATATCCCTACACTTTTAAAATATGACTGTCCAACAACTAAGTACTGGTTTTAGGTCCAGGCTTAGAATAAAACTGGAACATGTGCACTTGTACCAGAAAAATAATTATTTGTACAGAAAAATAATTACCAGAAATTTTCAAGAGCTTTTACTTATCACATACAGATATCTGTACTGTAGTGTGTTTTGTACTTGTACCATTTTTACATTAATAAATATCAACATCCTCTAGCCACTCTTGCACATATCTCACTTTTCCACAAAATGTCACTTGTAGCACTTTTTCTCTCAGCTCCTCAATTATCCATAAATTTCCAAATAGATGAGAACTTACTAAGTTTTCAAACACTTTAGTAATTGAAGATTGTAGGCAAACTGACATAATATACCTTTTTTTCCACAAACCAGGCAAGATACCTTTAGAAAATTACCTACTAAATATCTCGAGCCAAGATAATGAACACACATTTTCAATAATATATGGTGGATACTATCAGGCTCTATTGGATAAACTATGAAGAAGACATAACAGGATATTGTCAAAAATGTGAATTATGCATAACAGACAATGATGCAGTTAGTAAACTGAGGACATCCATGAAATAGTACAATATTAGTTCTTTGAAGAGAATAGCCACTAATATTGCTGGAGTGTTCCTAGAAATATATATATATATATATATATATATATATATATATATATATATATATATATATATATATATATATATATATATATATATATATATATATATATATCAGAAATAAATATATCCCCTTGGTACCATCTTTATTCAACAACAAACAGTTGGGAAATTTTCGGTCAGGCAGGTCACGGCTCAGGAGCAGTATACACATGACAAACCAAAATAGGTGTATACTGAAATATCTTTCTTAAATTAACGAAATTACACTAGAACAAACATGTGCCGCAAAATACATTACTACAAAGTTCTAAAATGTTTTGTAATTGTATCAGCATCACAAGAAACAATGTAGTTATTTCAAAAGCGTAAATAAAAAATCTTGTTGATAAATAAAATTTTCATCTAATGAAAAAATTAAGCATTTAACTATAAGCTAAATTAAAAAAAAATGTGATTACCTGACCAGAGCATATTCTGTGTACAGTATCTTTATTTATCGGTTTTATTATTTGGTCATTAATGCTTGCAGTGTCATTTTCTTCCATACTTGTTTTCGCGATATAATTATCTACTGTTTTAAAAATCCGTAGTTCTTAACATTGGGTTTAATTATTATTATTTATATTATTGACAGTAATGCCGTACATAACCTGAAATTTTGTAATTTTCCTGTAACGTTTTACTTCTTCTTCTTCTTTTTTGGGCTATGTCCTTGACAATTTACCCAGACTTCGAGGGTAGACACTTTTTGTCTTGCTTCAGCAATTAGTTTCTACACACTTATATTCACCCTTTGTTTGTTATGATTTATTCTACATGTATACTTGTATTGGTATTTTTTTATATTCTTCTCAGGCTAAAATTTTAATAAGACAACACAAGAAGGTATAAACTTTTCTCGCTCGGGGGTAGCCTGGATCTATCAATGGTATCTATCAATGGATAGATTCGAATGTAGTTTTACTGATTGAATCGTTTTGTAATTACCCCTTTGTCAGATTCTTCTCGATTGACGATGGTAAATACAATAAAATGTAAAAGTTGTGGAGTAAAAATTACGGTTTATTTGACAGCTATTAATAAATTACACTCTAATTGTTGGTTAGGTAACTTTTTATAATAGACTGCACTTAAATGAGCTCAAATCCACAATTTATAATTTCACAAATAATGTGCACCTCAGCACAGAGGTTAATGCTTCTATCGTACTATATACAACGTACTAATAAACTTTGAACTATGAGCTTACAATACAATTTAATCTAGGCCGTAATTGCCACACTTAGGAAGTTTAATTGGAAAATATATTATTCAGCAATTTATTAAGTTGCAGGTAAATGAACTAATTATTAAAATATTACACGATATGTTTTCACAATGTTTCAATTATACGCGGTGAAACTATAAAAGGTTAAGAATAATGTGATTACAAATTAAGGGATTAATTTGTGATTGAACAGTTACTCTAGCAAATTCCTGTTCCACCTACGTCTTCTAACTTAAAATAAACGATGTTTTGTTTTGCAACTTCATTTTTTATATGCGCCCAAACCATTGCACCTTGTACTTTGTCAAATTTATATTGAATATGATCTCGTTTGTGTCGTTTGATGATTTCATACAATTGCGGTATCCATTTTTTATCCATTTTTCTAGATATCCATTTTTTTAGAATTACTAGTGGGTGCTTTATTAATTTGTACATTATGATATGACGCATTATCAGTAGGTAACAACAACGAATCCAACAGGTAAATAGGGTATTAACGGTTCTTTTATCCATTTTTAATCTTTTTCTGAATTCATACCATAATGATAATCTCCTGTCTTAACTCCTGACGTAAAAATCAAGAGCGTATTCTGTATGAAACCCATCTCCTCACCACCATGTACGATAACCAACCTACTTCCTTTTGAAATGTTTTTGAACAATCCTTTGCCACTGACATCTGTCCAGCTATTTGGCGTAGTGTGTCCCACATGTACATAGGTTTCATCAACATATAAATTGACTTACCTTCGCTTCTGTAATATTTAATTTTGTCCAAATATTTAATGCGTAGAGCACTAATATCATTCCGTTCAATTAAACCTCGATTATCTTTCGTTTTCTTCCATTTAAATCTCAAATCTTTCACAATTCTGTAGAGAGAACTCACATTTCCAGTCCACTCGTACACCTCTTCAAGCCTTTTCTGCAAAAGCTTCAACACGACAACGTTCAGTGTCATGTAGGTATTTCTGTAATGTCAATGTCAACATTTCAGTCAATGGTATTTCTATTCAAGTCTGCTACGGTTGCTTTCCTTTTAGCAAGTGTTGTAGCTGGAAATCTTAGTGTATTATTTGACTCTGCGTTTGTTAACATACTCACTTGTTGAATGATCATTTCTACTGTACGTAACTCACACGTTGTCTAATATTGGTTCGATTATCCTCAGGAAATAGTATTTGCATATATTTAAATACATTGTATGGGTCTGATCATAGATATTCTATTGTCTGCGCGATTAACTATTTCGTGGAAAGGCTAGCCACTCGACTTAAAATAAGCTGTAATAGGCATCACTTTCGTTATTATGCCACAACTAATCTATACCACATAGCTTCACACAGTCATACTAAATGGTCACTGAACGTGTGAGGAGGTATTATTGGTAACTATGTCGTTGGACCATGTTTTTTGAAGAAAATCTAAATGTTGAGATGTATTTAGATTTTTTAGTAAATTATTTGCTTATATTATTGGATGACATTCTACTTTTGACATTCTACAAAATTAATGAAACACCAGATTACAATATCGCCAAAAATAGGGCAATGGTGAATACAGGGACTGGACATAACTTTAAAGATATTCGTGACAATCAAAAATATTTTTGGTGTAGACATGATCCTATGTTCAGACTGTTCCTTATTTAATATTTATTCCCCAATTAACTGTTGCGGACGAACTAAACGCATGCCTAACATCATTCAATTTATGGCGGCATGTAAAGATGCTCCAATTGAAAAAATATCATGCAAGAGTTTTTCTAACAAGATCAAGGGCAATTGTGTTTTCGAAGCAGTTGTTAGATATTGGAAATCAAAAAGTCCTTATTGACACCTCAACCGCATTCATTTCAATACCCAGAGATTTGTTACCTAACAGACTCGAACGAGGAGCTTATTGAACATTGACATATTATTTAATTTAAAGGCGATACAAAGTTCGGGATCCCAAAACCTATCATTGCATTATATAATACAGTTCTTTTCACACTGTCATAGGCTGCTGTCAAGTCAATGAAGAGATGGTGTGTATCTATGTTATATTCTAGTGACTTTTCTAGAATCAGCCTATGTGCTTGAATTTGATGTGTAGTTGACTTTCCAGCAGTAAATCCGCATTGATATTGACCAACAATATCCTTTGTAAAACGTTTTAGTCTTTCAAATAATACATTGCCGAAGATTTTTAAACGCAGAATAATGTCATGTCATCTATTCCGATATTTTTCAGTATTTGCATTAATTTTACATGCTGGACTTTATCGAATGCCTTTTCGAAGTCCACGAAACATGTAAATACGTATTTTCTTTGGTCACGGCATTTTTGTAATAGGATTTTAAGCGCAAAAACTGCCTCCCTGATTCCCATAGCATTTCTAAAACCAAATTGGATATCTTCGAATTTGCGTCTAATTCTGTTCTGAAGTATTCTTAGGAAATTTTTAAGAGTGTGGCTCATTAGGCTAATTGATCGATATTCTGAGCATTTTCTCGCATTGTGTTTTGTAGGTATTGCGACAAAGATAGATTTGAGCCAATCTGTGGGAATCACTCCGGTGTTATATATTGAATTACAAAGTCTTACTACTACTTTTATGTTATCATCCTCTATTAGTTTCGGCAACTCAATTAATGTATCATCTGGACCACAAGCTTTTCTAATTTTAGCATTATTTATAGCGTGTTCTACCTCGCATTTCATAATTTCTGGGCCGTCAGTACAGTTTTGGTAGAATTCGGCAATATTCCTGTCATCTTCAAATAACTCTGATATATACAGCTGCCATTCTTTTCTTATTTCGTGCTCATTTGCAATAATTTTGTTATTATTGTCAACGGGTACAGAGGGAACTCGTTTTTTAAATACATTGCTCATTTCTTTTAGTTTTTTGTGTACATTAAATAAGTCGTGTTTAGATATTACATCCTCCATTTCGTCGCACCTTTCTCTCATCCATTTTTCTTTGGCTAATTTGATCTCATTTTTATTCTTCTGTGCAGGTGTCTATATTCTGTTTCATTAGATTTTATCAGTCGACGTTCCATTAATTTCAAGATGTCGTCTGTCATCCATTCTTCATCTTCATCTTTTTCTTCAATTAAGTTTTTTCTATAATCATTGTTTGTGAAGATTTCGTTAACTTGGTTTTTAAATTCACTCCATAGTTCTTCTGGATCTTCTAGTTGTTCTCCGGCGTTTTTTATTTTATTGTTAAATTCTTTTTTAATGGTGTTTTATGTTTATATCGTCAAAGTTAAGTACATTGGTTTTTGGTTTTTGTCGCTGAATTCGTTTTAATCTTAGTTTAATATCTGCTACAAGTGGTTGATGATCAGATCCAATATCTGCCACAGGAAATATAGTGACTTTTTTGACGGCATTTCGGAAACGCTCATTTACAAGTATATAGACTATTTGATTTTTTGAGGACTCAGGGTTATTGCCTTCATCAAATGGGGCTTTCCAAGTGTGTAGTCGTCGCTTGGGTAGTTTATACCAGATGTTTGCAATGATCATATCGTTTTCTTTACAACATTCATACAATCTCAGTCCTCGATCGTTAGGTTGTCCTAGACCATAAGGACCTACAATCTGACCTCTTCGACCTTCCCGAATTTTTGCACTGAAGTCACCTATAGGTAATATATAAAATTTCGTGTTTGTTAAGTTTGTGTAAGATGTCTTGGATCTGAAAATACAAGTTCTCGACTTCATCGCCATATTTTCTATCTGCAATCGGGGCATAGATTATAGATTTGAATAATGTTAGTTTTAAATGGTTGAGTATTTATTTGGAGTAATATTATTCTATACGAAATCGGTCACATATTTACTCAGTTCTGATGTTACTAATTTGTTTGTATGTTTGTTTGTTTATTTAACGGGATGAACCCTTTTTCCTTACAAAAATTACAATATAGACATATAATTAACATATAAACTGTAGTCATATATTACAATTTTAAAAAGTATTAATAACATTAATGTCTCAATTTCTTTAAACTGTTCTTGAACGAGGACACGGATAAATTAAACAATTCAACACTATCTTGCAAATTATTGGCAGTTCTCAACATCCTTGTGATTGACTCACTTTTACCATAATTAGTGTGATGAAACTTTAGTCTAAACAGGTCAGGAGAGCGTGTTCTTCTAGAATTTACATTAAAAACAATTAATTCCAGCAGTTCCGGACAATCAACATAACCATTAAGAATTTTATGCAAAAAACGCAATTCACACTCAGATTCTCTATTTTCTAAAGTTTTCATATTAAGTTGACAAAGAATATAGTTATAATCACAGTTAGTTCTATTAAAACCCATTTTATACCTGCAAATTCTTAGGAATTTATTTTGAACTCGTTCCAACTGATCAATATACATATTATAATATGGATACCAAATAATATTACAATATTCCAAAATGGACCGAACTAGAGAACAATACAAAATTTTGAAAGTAAATATTGAAAATTCTCGGGAGTTCCTTTGAACAAAGCCGAGCATTCTATAAGCCCGCGATGTAATATTATTAATATGCCTATCAAATATTAGTCTTTCTTCTTCTTCTTAGAGTGCCGTCTCCCTACGGAGGTTGGCAATCATAATGGCTATTCTTATTTTAGAACTTGCTGCTCTAAACAAATCAATCGATCTGCATTGGTACCAATCACGTAGATTCTTTAACCATGAGTTCTGCCTTCGGCCAACAGATCTTCTTCTTCTTCTTCCTTAGTCTTTGGTCAAATGTAATTCCAAGGTCTCTAATTTGATTTACTTCTGTAATCGATACTCCCTTAAGTATGTATGTTCTATATAACTTATGTTTAGTATTTCTGGAAAACGTAATTTTATAGCACTTTTTTAAATTTAAATATAAGGCATTAATGTCACACCAACGAGATAAATTATTTAAGTCAGACTGAAGAGCATCCATATCAGAGGTATTTTTAACTGCTTTAAAGATCTTTATGTCATCAGCAAACAATAGAAATTCACTATTATTAATTACTGATGATATATCATTCACAAACAGATTAAATAGAAGTGGGCCTAAGTGAGAACCTTGAGGTACACCCGAAGTAACATTAATCGCTTCAGAAACAAAATTACCATATTTTACTATTTGTGAACGATCTGTTAAATAACTCGTGATCCAATCCAATAAATTATCTCCAATTCCGTATCCACGAAGTTTAGCAATTAATATTTCGTGATTTACCCTGTCAAATGTCAAATAATATACCTACACCATTTTTGTGATGTGGGTTTCTGGACATACTATATACTCACAAACAATTTCACTCAGTAAACACCCGAAGAACTAAAATTATAATATACAAAACACTGCTGAGGCCGATCCTCACATATGGAGCAGAAACATGGACTCTAACGCAAAAGGATGAAAGACTTTTGGGAAGATTTGAGAGTAAAATACTCCGCAAAATATTTGGAGCTATAAACGACCAAGAGCAGTGAGACAAAAGATATAACTTAAAATGATACCCACTATTCTAGAGCAAAAACATTTTTATTCAAAAATTGATAAAAAAATACACAAAGGTGTTAATTAACTACTTTTTCCGCAAATCGCCAGGAAATTTTGACATTCCTGTCAAAATTTCTTGAAGAAAAAGTTGTAAAAAGTCAGGACTTCCTTACTGTAAGGAAATGTCATTTCCTTACTGTAAGGAAATGATATTTCCGTACAGTTGTTAGTGTTCTACATAAATAATAGAAAACACATTGCTAAATATATAAAGATTAAATTTATAAGCGTCAAGTTTGACAATTCAACCTCAATACGTTTCCATAGTAACCCAAGTAATTTTATTAGGAATTTCAAAGCACCATTTATTTGGGAATAAAATTATCGAGTTTTTTTTAAATCAATCAATATCTGTCGAATTTTAAACGATTTGCGGAAAAATAGTATGTTTACCTCGTAGGAAAAGCCACATTCCTGGACTCTGTGTTGCTAAGTCTCGGCTTGCGCCTCGACTTAGCAATCTTCACAGTCGTCCAGGAATGTTAAGCTTTTCCTACCCGGTAAACTATTGACACACAATGAGATGTTTTTTTTCAATTAAGTTTTTATTTTGTAGCTCTGAGTACTCTCAAAATCATAAGGGATAAAGTCGTGTATGAAGTTCGTCGGAAATCTGACGCTCTATAAACTTTATTACTTTTATCTTAAAAATTACAAATTAAGAAAAGTTTTTAATGGTTAATAGGTAAAAATAGAAACTAAAAGGTTACTTAATCAATAAAAAAAAAATAAAGAAGAAATGCTACAGTTGTTATAGGTTCTTAAATATACATCATGTTAAGTCTATTATTAGAAAAAATTATCGTATATACATATTGGCATAATTTATATTTAGAAACCTATAACAACTAGCATTTCTTCTTTTTTAGTGGTTCAGATATAACCACTTTATCGGGGACATGAAGATTATAGAGCCAAAATCGATCGTCCAGATTATAATACAATCAATTGTGAGTATTTTCTTTTCCCTATTGAAAACGAACTCACATTTGCAATGCATCATTTATAAATAGTTATCTAATTACAAAACAAGCTTCATTTCAAATTTGAGGTTCAAAATGTCCGCCATGAAAGCTAGCGACTCAATGTATCCTCACAAATAAAAATTGAGAGGATTTAGATCTACACTCCGCGGAGGCCAGAAGTATTCACTTCCTCTGCCGATCCACTGATGGCGCAAACGTTATGTAAATAATTTTGTACTGCTATATAGCATAGTACAACGACCGGGAGTGTTATTATATAAATACCACATACCAGCTCTAATATTTAAATCATGAGAAGATGTAATTACTTCCATTCAGTATCTATCTGACTACATCAAACAAACCTTTAATTTAAATTCAAACATTTATAACCATCTTTATTATTAAAAAACCCTTGCTCATAAAACTGGCGTCATTAGTAAAGAAAATTTTACTTGCAAAACAGTTCTAGTCAGTATTGATGTTAGACGGAAAGTTTTAAGCCAGAAATGTGGTCTCGCTAAAGATTATTATTTGCCAGTAAGTTTTGAACTGGAGTAAAGTGGCACAGGTATAATTGTTGCCAATGTAAAGTATGAAAGACAGTTCACATAGTTTTATTTAAATAATATTTTATAATTGCTGTAAACAATTTCATTTTCCATGTTTTGATGAGTAATACTTAACTCCATTAATTTTTGATGCCCTTGCGTATTTGGCCAATAGTGCATTTACATCGATTTTGTCTGTTGTCAATCTCCTAGAAAAATAAAGGCATTAATAAGTCTTTCTATATGGTTTTTCAAATTTATAATATAACTACTATATAATCTGTTCCTTTAAAATTGTTTGTCATTGCATATTTGTCCAAATGACCCTGGCACTTTTCTTATGTAAAAGTGGTTTCAGTCAAATTGGTTTAAACTTTGCAGACAGGTAGCTTTGGTCATGCTGAACAAAAGTTGTCATTGCGCCAATACAATTTCATTTGCATATCTCAACCAGTTTCAGAACAATAAATAAATCGTTAGTTTGTAAAAAAAAAATCAACATCCCGTATCTCGAAAAAGGAAGCATTTTCAGGCATACGTTTATATAGCCAACTGTCATTATTCTTCATGCCGAATCACTCCATGAAGTTAGTTGCACGTATCTACTAAAACTCTGTACCTATATTTTACAAATATGTATTATTCAAAAGGACTAAATACCGACACATTGAACATTTGTAACACAGAAACAATTGATTTCTGAGTATTGATGCAATGACAAGTTTTGATCAGCATAGCCAAAGCTACCTCTCTGTAAAGTTTCAGTCAATTTGGCTGAAGCCAATTTCGCATAAGAAAAGTGCCGGGGTCCTTTATCTTGTTTTAATTTTACAACTTAACTAGACGTCAGAATGGTAGATAAGTATAAAAAGGGAGAAAATTAAATCATCTATATCTTTAAAACGACAGCCAGCAAATTATTCTTTATATGAAAATTTAAAAAATAAGTAGTGGATAATCCAAGGACCAAAATCCATCTATACTGAAAGACGCTTTTACCATGGGCGTAGTTACCACCCCATCTCAAGGGTGGAAATTTATTTTCATTTATTTATTTTAACGGGTTAGGACCCATTCCCGGTTCCAAATCCAATCCCGGTACCATCCAAAACAGGTGCTGAATTTTGCCGAATTTTTTGCGACCCCAAAAGTTTACCACTTTTACCCCCGAGCTTCCCCCTAAAACCCTCTTCGCATGGGGGTAAAAACGCAAGAGTCTGTACACCGTATATTTTAAAGAAAAATGTTTATAAGTATTTTTTGTGTATAATGAACCGTTTTCTTAAAAACGGTTAAAATAATGTCAGTTACGCGCGCGAAATCAATGTTTTACAAAATTTCAGCTCGGCGGTAATAAACTCGATATCTTTTCAGCTTTCTTATGCAGTTTTTGTATTTTGCCGCAAATAAACTCAGATTTTATACACGTGATATACATATATGTTATAATACATAAAGTGATATACAATAAATAAACGTGACACGATTTTTACCATTTTTTATGATTCTCACAAGATCAATATCTCTTTCATTGACTGGCCACTATGAAGTTGCGATTATTAGAGCATAACCCTTAAAATCTATAGCATGAAATTTTAGTTTTGAGTTTTGGCAACAAATCTGAGGCATTTGAAATATGCTTAGAAAACGCTGGATTTAAACTTTGACACAACAACCGATCTAAAACATTTAAAACTTTTTTTTCAATTACACTAGTACGTTTTTCAAAAGAACAAAACTTCTGAAATAAACTACACCCTAAACAGTCTTGTTAATTGCATTTCCCGTAACGTGTGATTGTTTGTAATGTAAACCATTAAATTCTACGTTTTTTATTCATATTTCAAATGCCTCATATTTGTTATCACAACTCAAAATTGAAATTCCATGTCATAGGTTTTAAAGCTTGATCTCTAAAAATGGAAATTTTACTACAACTGGTCAATGAAGGTGATCAATTTTATTAATCTCACGAGAATCGTAAAAAATTGCAAAAATCGCGCCATGTTAATTTATTTAACACGTTTATAAAAACTGAGTTTATTCTCGGCAAAATACGAAAAGTGCATACGAAAGCCGCACTCTTTACCTTTAAAACGCATCTTGATTTCTGTCGATAGGACATTTGGATCAAAAGATATCGAATTTTTACCGTCCCACTGATAGAAATTTTATTGAATATTGATTTCGCGCGCGTGATTTTGTAACTTGAAGCGCACCGTCGATTTTCCATTGAAATGGAAAATCAACGGTCGCTTCAAGTTTCTAAGAGAACGGTTCATTCTACACAAAAAATGCTTTTAAACCAGTTTTGTTTAAAATTATCTCAGCTACATTTTTTATTTAAAACATTTTTGTCAACGGTGTACAGATTCTTTTAAAAATACGATTTTTTGAGTTTTTACCCCATATGAGGGGGTTTTAGGAGGAAGCCCGGGGGTAAAAGTGGTAAATTTTTTTGCATCTTTTTTGGGTCCCAAAATTAATATTCTCTGCAAAATTCAGCTTGTTTGTATGATTTTTAGGGGTCAACTCTCTGACGACTATAGACAGGTTGATTTATGTAAATTTTGTGTCATTAAGGTGAGTTTATACACACATGGATTTGCTGGTACCAGATTTGCATTAGATTTAACCACTTCAATCAAGTAGTAGTCTCACCAATTTCGAGTTTACTGTACAAAAATCTATTTTTTTATTTCATAATTCCATTATGCATGTAAAAAATTTTTAAATTATTTTAAGGCGCGTAATAAATGTATGTATAAATGTATAAATGTATTATATATATATATATATATATATATTATATATATATATATATATATATATATTATATATATACATATATATATATAATATATATATATATATATATATATATTATATATATAATATATATAATTATATATATATATAAATATATATATATATATATATATATATTATATATATATATATAATATTTATATATATATATATATTTATATATATATATATATATATATATATAATATATATATAATATATATATATATATATATATATATATATATATATTGTTATGATATGAAAAATATTGGTGTGTTTAAAAAGTTCAAAAACATTAAAATAATTCAGATAAGTAGGATAATAACCAACAAACATTTCAATTTTTTCAACTATTTTTTTTCAATTTCAATTTCATTTCAACATTTCAACAAACAAAGGACAATAGAATAGATTTTAAAAAGAGGTTTTTGTTAGTTTTTAAGAATTGTAGAAAAATATTATTTGTAAATAAGTTTTAGGAAATTTTATTATTATAGGTAAAAATTTGTTTGTTATCGAAATGAAAAAATGGGAGATTTGTGACGAGCTTTGATTGGCGGAGATTAAAAAAGGTGGGATATGTATGTAGGAATGAAAGTTTAGCTAGATTTTTGAGAGAGAAAAGATAATCAGTTGGTTTTCCAAGTCTGTAAGACGAACAGTGATTGTTCTCTGGCGGTTCCCGAGAGGTAGCAAGCAGTAGTGTTGAATGTTAGTGAGTTTTTGTGGAGTTAGTGTATCTGACAGAAGCTGAAGCAGCAAAATATTGTAAGTCATATTTTTCTACTTATATTCCAAGAGTCACTGTTCAGGCCAACGAGAGATTCAGTTTATCATAAAGAGAAGATATTCCAAGAGTCATTTTTCACTCTGGCCAACGAGAGATTCAGTTTATCGAGAGGAGAAAGGCTATCATAATTTGAATAATTCGTGCTTTTGAAGGAGATCATTAAGGACGATATACTTGCAACAATTTGTTGTAAGATTGCTGATTACCTAGGGAGCGCCTGAGAGTAGATAATATAGTCTACAAGGAACAAGGATTTGGACCACTCATCATCAGAGAGAGATATTTTTGTTTTCTGCAGTTTTTTCTTTTATTGATAACACAATTTTTTACACTTAATTTAGAAAGGATATAAATATTTTGATTAGGAGAGTTAGAATAATTTGAGATTTTGAGATTTCAATTAATATTGTTTGTACCATTAATTTTGAAGGTTCACAGTACGTAGAACAAAATTTTGAGAATCATTATATGAGATTTTGTTTATTGAAAACATTTGAGTGTGAATTATTTCATTATTTTTATTTCAATATATAGTGTTATATCATATGTGTTTTTTATTATTCCGGTATTCTTTGGACCTTACCTTTCACATGTAATAGCATAGATATTGAAGCACGAATTTAACCCTGAGATAAGAGAATTAAAAAGTGTGATAGAGTCATAATCATATCATTAAAATAATTTTAATTAATCAATTAATTAATTAGCTAATTAATTGCTTGGCGCACCAAGACTTTAAATATCACAATAATATGTATTTATATATATTAAAATTAGTGTTTCTTGGGATTAGGTTCAATAAAGATATATTATATGTGGAACTAGATTTTATTTTCCATAAAAATCAATGTTTCGGCAAATAATATTTAAATATTATTTATTAATTAAATATATGCAAAAAAAAACCTAGTTCCACATATATCTTTATTGAACCTAAACCCAAGAGACACTAATTTTATACTAAATATGATTCGGTTCAAGAAACTCCCAACTACAATATATATATAATATATATATATATATATATTATATATATATATATATATATACTATATATATATATATATATATATATATAATTTTTTTAGTATTTTTAATTTAGTAAATTAAAATATATTTTTTAAGTAATTTTACTTCAGAAAATTTAATGTGAATGTATAATTAAAAGCAAAAATATATCAGGGGTGTGAATTATAGTAAGGGTATAAATAAAAAAAAATCAAAGAACGGGTCACAAAACTTTTGAATAATGAAAATAATTCAAACTGCAAATGTAACACAAAAATATCTACTACATGACAGAAACGAAAATAGACTTACAGCTCCATCTAAAACTCAATTTAAACTGTGATAAGGACAAAAAAATAGTAATTTAATTCAATAATTATAATTTTTATCTCAATATCAAAGTTTTTACCTGATGTGTGTAATGCACTAAATGATTATATACAAGTAAGAAATTAAATATTATTGATTTCTAGTAACATAAATATAAAATGGTATTAAGTGTAGTGTTTATTATGAAGTGTTGAAATCCCTCTCAAATTCTGATATTAGTTTTCACTACTAAGTAATGATGGATTCAACTGGTTGTGATAAAATATCCATATCACTGTAGGAATTATGGTTTGAATATTCTATAGCGCTAGATGTTGAAGCTGTAGAATATGGTCTATTTTGTTTGTAGATTATTTTCCAGGCATTTTTTTACTATAAGTTATCACACACAACGAATTGTGGAAAATGTGTTTGGGATTCTCTAGTTTCTTGATTTTGTGTATTTGCAAGAGGTTGTGTCCTAAAAAGGTTAATGTTATTGTAAAATCAGCTTGTGTTCTACACAACTAGCTTGGAAAATCAAGTACAATTTGAATAAATAGGGGAAGTCTATCCAAGGGTTCAAAAATATATTGAAAGTTAAAATATTGAAGGGTTCATTTAAAACCTAAACAAGAGGTAGAGGTTTATTCAATTTAATCACAACAAATAAGACATAATTATTCTAAAACAGCAGCTGCTGTTAGAGATAAATTAACTGATTGGTTATTGGATGTAAATATAAAATTGTATAAATACTTACAATTTATATTGATTGTGTATTATTTATTTTAAGCCCTTCATGCAAAATTCTGTCAGTAACTGGGAACCATGGTAGTTGCAGCACATCAAAACCTATCCTCAACTTCTAGCTTTTTTAAATAAAGGCTAGTTCCAAGTTGTAAGCATTCCTAAGTGAACATATTTTATCTTTAACATTTTCTGACTAAAATCCATCAACTGCCATTGTTGTTGCAATATTTTGATATGCATCTATTTATGAATTCCTGTCTTTTCAGAATGAACATTCCACAAACATGTATGTTGTTAGTACAATTTGAGAAAGTCTATAATATTCTAAGAACTCCATTTATTATATTGTAAACTGCTCATTTTAATTGATATTTATTAAAATTGCTTAACCAGCAAAATACAAATGTTGACATGTGCAAATTAAATTTAAAATGACAAAATGGCAACAGGCACATGAAAAGTTGGAAAATTCTAACTTGACTGGCACAATGCATGCACTGTTCAAACTTGTACATGAATACTCCTTAGCAACTGTTTATTCATGCCATTTTATTTTGCTGGTGTGATAACAACTATGGGCACCAGCTAATTCATGCATGTATAAAACACCATTATGCCACATGATAGATAAACTTAATTATGAATTAATAGAAAATTAAATAACCACCATCACCAAGTCAAACTGAAAAAGTATAAAGTTAAATACATACTTTATATAAGGTGATATCTCTGGAACACTCCACTTTTCCTTGGCAGCAAATAAAATTTTGAATCTTTCATTTTATATTTTCAGGCAAATTACTCTCTTCAAATGCCCAAATAAAATTAGGATTAGACTTTCTGTCTATAATGGCAATACCATACAGCATTTCTTCATAAGGCACCATACCTTCTGGTACAGAGTCTCTCCAAGCTTGTAAAAATTCATTTAAATTGAACTTGCCAGTTTCATGTAGTAAAACTTTTGCAAAAAATTTGCAAACTTCATCTTCCTTATACTTATACAAAGCTATACCATCAATTTCCTTTGATTCTTCTGTATATTTATCAAATAAATGTGAAACAACTTCTTTAGGAGCTAATTCTTTTAAAGAATCAACTGTTTCTTTGAAATCAACTTCATCTGTCTCCCAAGAGTTTTCTTCTAATAATTTTAACATATAGGACAATATTCGAAAATGATATTCAATATCCAAAGTTCTTATTTTACCACTAATTTCAACAATAGTCATCATGCTTAATGCTTCCCTTAATTCACTTTTAGAGGCTTGAATTTTATCACACAATTCTTCAAAACTGTAAAGATTTTCTTTGTTTACCTCAAACTCATGTTCTGGACCTTTGTAAGGAAAGGTTTTAAGTAAATCATCTAACTTCTTTAAATGTGGTTTGCCTAATGATGATTCTAAATACTCATAGAATATCCCTTTTACTGCTACTCCATGAACTGCTGAACTCAAACTATCATCAATATCTTTGGTAAATTTCATATTATTTACTAATAATAAACTGTTTGAAGTTTCTGCTTCAACTACTTGAAATGTCTGTGTTTCAGAACAGATTACAAGTTCTTCATCTTTTTCTCCTTTAAAACACAGTTCAGAGCCTTCTGTTATTTCTTGTAATAAATGTGGCTCCAATTGTAATAAACGAAAGTTATGATTGTATAAATTTTTTTCTGTAAAATATATTGCTTGGGATAAAGGTTTAATATCATCTTTAGAGAGCTTTGCCAAAGACAAAATATCTTCAACTTCTTTTAAACATCTTCTGTAAAAATATAAAAATTATACATATTTTATCTTACAAATTATTAAACAGTGTCAATAACTTACTCTTTTTTGGTATTAATCATATTATTTTAGTTTGAATATTTACTATACAAAACAATAACAATAACAATCATCAGTCTTACTTCATACTTCACAGACTGGCGGGAAAATCATGGGAAAGTGGTTGTTTAATCATCCGCCATAAGAAAGTTTCTTCTTCTTTTGGGATTTTATTCTACTGAATAATCAGCCAATAAGGTGATATTTTGGCATAAATTGGTAACACTTATTTAACAGTTGCGGTGTTGACACTTTAGTCACAGTATAATCACAGAATAATAAACAAACAGAATGCCCACTCTCCACGGAAAATTAAGTACGCGCATCTCCTTCGCGCAGACGTTCCGCCATGTTTTACGAGGATTTTAAAGGGAACCAGTGTTGTTTATGTGGTGTGCATGGAAAAAAAACAGGTTTATTTGACTTACGGCAATCATAGACATACTATACAATTATATTAACAGTTTTAAATATAATAATATAAATATAATATAATTAAACATAAATGTAAACAAATGCATAACCTCACAAATCATATGTTTGTGTCCTCCTAAAACATGGCGCGGCGTGCTGAAAACTTCAAAGGCGGGCATCTGAGAGTGGCCCTTCTGATTGTTTATTATTCTGTGGTATAGTTTTGTTTTTAATTATTTACTATTAATTAAACTATGTGGTTTTTAAACACCAACGTATATTTTTGACATTTGCGGCTATATTCAGCTTGTACTTTCGGTAAACTCAACCTAATTTTGTATTAAAATTCTTCTTATGTATTTTAATGTGTTTGCAGTAGTCTCAAAAATTTGGTATATTGTACTACTGTTAATATATGTTATATAGTTAATAACTAATCAATGACGTATAATATATAGACTCGGTGAACGCTTTAAAAAGTGTCCAAAACATGAATACCTTTGTTATTGTTTATTGTTTTGATACGAAGATGCACGAAGTTCATGATTTCTTACGAAGCATCACGAAGTTGATCTTGTGTTTGAAAACATCATGGACGTATGAAAACATTTTTTCATTTTTTGTGAAGCAAATTTTATTTTAAATTGTTGAGAGTTATTTACTTACTATTTTAGTAAAATGCCATACTATTGTATCAAAATAATTATTTCTCTTATAGACGGGAACAAAAAGAAATCATAAATATTTAATTTTAATTAAAAAAATAATTATTGTCATTAACATATAAATGAGCACGCCGCTGTTCTGATAAACATACCTTCAACCTTGAGCCGAGATCATCGAGCAAAAAGATAAAAGAGGGAATCTAATCGTTATAAAAAGGAGACCAAAAAAGTGGCCTCTGATGGTGGACATATCCGGAAATGCAAAGGCGCTAAATTTAAATTTTCCAACACTTGTTAACAATAGCTGTAAAATATTTTTCAGACAAGAAAGTTTTAATTAAATATTAACGATAATAGTCTAAAAAGTGACACAATTGGTAAAAAACTTCAATATAAATAAAATTTCATGTGACAGTTGGGACAAACAATAACATAACCAAACTAAATTGGACTTTTTAAACAAGGAAAGAGACTGTCTTTCCTTGTTTAAAGTGGCCTCTCAAGATAGCACTTCCTGTCTAACAATATTTTTGTCCCCACTACCTCTACATTCCCTCTTTTATCTTTTTGCTCGATGGCCGAGATCTTTCGGACACTCGATTGTATAGCGAGAATAGGGGACTGCGTAGTCTATATAACGTCAGCGTCCATTGTAACTAATGTTATATAGTTTGACAATAGTTGACATTTGAAAAATTCCTCACTTACAAAACTATTCTGATGTTTTGACAACGCTGTGGGGGTTCTGACTTCTGACGACCCAGAGATTGATGATCTCTGTGGACAGTGACGACCATAGAGAAATAACAATAAGTTATAATAACTTATTTGTTATTTCTCTATGGTGACGACTCTAAATCTTGAATGACGTGCAAGCTTTCTTATATGAAAAATGCTACACGCCTAGTCGTTCGCGCAGAAGGAATCAGCCATGTTTTAGTCGGAAACAGTGCTGTTCGGTGACATTTTATCTGGTGTGCATAGAAAAATTAACCCGGTTTAATTTATTTTACGGCAACTATAGGCATTAATATGCACTATTTTATTCCTACTTTTAGTTGAAGAATAGATTAAATTATTTCAAATGTACTAAATTATTAATCTCTAAAAAACTTAAATTACAGTTCTATCGTAGCTTGTCACAAATTTCTTAATTCGAGTCTATGTTTCCGCTTAAAATATGGCGATCGCGTGCTGACCAAACTTCAAATGCGACATTCTGAGAACTGAGCATTCTGATTGTTATTCTGTGTCCTGATCATATCTATATATATCAGGACCTGATATACATATATATATTTATATATATATATATATTATATATATATATTATATATTTATATATATATAATATATATATATATATATATATATATTGTAACGTGATTTAAATAAAACGAGCGGTTCGAATTTATATAAATATAATTATTTATAACTTTACAGTTCGGTATTCTCTTATAAACTAAACTTAAATCCTAATTTCGTTACATATATATACCAAAGTATTATATTCGAGAATATTCGAGAATAGTCCACCTCTAATTCGTTATTCGACGGGTGGAAATTTTCTAAGCACTCGAAATATCGCCGAAACTCTCGGTGTGCTTCGAGAATGCGACCGTTAGGTAATCCACGCTAAATGCATGTTCGTAACACTGCTCCCCTCTTAGATCTGAGCGTCCCGATCAGGAACTCTATCTATAGGCCCAGGATGGCGGAAATCTACAGGACTCTCCTGCTCTGCATGAACCCCTCAGAAAGAAATAACAGTCTACTGTCTTTGAAGGACACGATCTCTTCGGATTAATGCAACACACCAGTAATTCTTCACAACGGTTTCTCGGAAGATCACTTCAAGCATGCTTCTGACAATCTTCCAATCCAGATTATCTAGTGCATAGGCCTATCTTGGGTAAAGCCAAGTTTCTTAATGTCGTAATTGCAGACGATTTTCTTCAAATTAGTCAGAGCAACGCCATATATCCTCGTAGCTTGCCCTGTCTGTATACGACTTTTGGTCACCAATACAACAAAGATCGAGAACCATCTTCTAATCTCAGCACTCTTCCAACTTTAGGCTGCTGGTTTTTTAACTCGTCCAAGCGACCAAATTTCTTATGAAATACGGATGAGATTCCCTTTAGTCATCTCAAGATCTTGTGGTAACAAAGTGGGCTAGAGTGACGTTATGCGGAACACTGAAAATGATCCTGCTGAACTTCTGTCGTCAACGCCGAATCTAGCACTCTTTCTCTCTGCGTAATTTGACATAAACTATTAAAGCTTGGTCGCCGATCATCTTTGATCTCATGTTGAAGGGTTCGGACTTCTTCGGTTTCGTTTGAGCCAGCATAAGGTGCAAGACGATTTATGTGAACTACTTTTGGTTTACCTTTCGGCAATTTCCTAATTCGGTATATTACGTCATTTATTCTCTTTTTAATTTCATACGGACCCTCCCATTGTTCTTTGCAGTTTAGGAGATAAGCCACGACGACGTTGGGGATTATAAATGCCAAACAAGATCAACCTACTTCATAGCTTTCATTCTTGCATCGTGAATCGTATTGATCTTTCATTCTGTCAACTGGCTAACTGGATGTGTTGTCGGGCAAGTTCATGAATGTTGTTCATTCTTAACTTTAGGCGGTTCGGACATAATCTTCGCTTGCAACATGTTCTTCGGAAGGTCTGCAGCCAAACTCTAGTGTCGCAGGGCAAAACGAACTTCACGACATAACATCGGGCAGGGTTGGAGTCTGGCCCGTAGTTTTCATTCACAGCCGAGCGGTAGGCCATTAGGAATAAATGAATGTGCTGGTCCCAATCTCCTTGATGTTCTGATACAACTTTGGACAGGTGTTTACCCATCGTTCGGTTCATTCTCTCGACCATTCCATCTGACTGAGGATGAAGGGGTGTCGTTTCTGGTCTTATTGACACCAATCAATTTACAAACGTTTTGGAATAAGGTTTTGACTCAAAGTTTCGCCCTTGGTCGGAGTGGATCTCCAAGGGAACACCAAATCGGCTAAGAATTCTTTAACCAGTACCTCTGCAACGGTAGCAGCTTCTTGATTTGGTAGCGCATAGGCCTCAGTCCATTTCGTAAAAATAATCCATGGCTACCAGGATATATTTATTTCCTTCGTTTGTCTCTGGTAGTGGGCCTGCAATGTCGATTGCTACTCTTTTCCATAGGACTACCAACATTGTACTGTTTCATGGGTGCCCTCTTTTTACCAACTGGACAATTACTGGTTGCACACAGTTCACATTTCCGGCACCATCTTCTTACATCATCTTTACAGTTCACCCAATAGAACCGTTCTCGAACCTTTTGCAGAGTCTTCGTAATACCAAAGTGGTCCACCTGATGCACCGTCATGTAACTGACGCAATACTTCTGACACTTTACTTTTAGGTACAAATCAACTGAAGGCTTAGATTCTGTACCATCATCGTTCTCAAGGGTTCTATAAAGAAGATCATCCTTTTAACACTAGGCATATTCCATTGGCTCCAGTAACACTTGACTTCAGGACTACATGCCACTAATGTCTTGCCAAGAGGGCCTTTCACTTTGACGCATCCAATCCAATACTCTTTTATACATGGATCTATCTGCTTGAGCGTCTTGTAGCTGTTGAGGCTGCCATTGATCATTAATGACGGTGGTTCGTCTCACGGGGCAAAGTCTTTCTTCTAATTTAAGGCAGTGATTACAATGTTCACTGCACGGCCTTCTCGAAAGCGCATCACCAGCATTTAAATGAACTCTTCCAGCCCTGTGTTCGATCTCGTAATCATATTCTTGTAATCGTTTAAACCATCTTGCCATCTGGCCCTCTGGATTACGGAATTGTAGGAGCCATTTTAGAGCAGCGTGATCCGTGCGAAGAAGAAATTTTCTGCCATACAAGTATTTATGGAAATGCTCGCAAGCCTTTACTACACCTAGCAATTCTCTCCTGGTAACGCAATAGTTTCTTTCTGG